AGAGATTAACACAGAGGGGAAAAAAAAATCACAAAAAGGGTACAAAAAAGATTCTTTTTGTTCATTCTGATTGTGATTCAAGATAGAAGAACCTGTGCAGGCTTGGGAAAACTGTTATATAGCAATTCGGTAACACAAACCTGTAGTCTCCCCTCAAGTTGCATGAAGCTGAAAAGCCTGACCTTTGTCTGTGGGTTTCAGGACTCAAATATTCAGGAGAATGTAGAAGAGAATAACTGGAAAATGGCTAGGAGAGACCTCAGGCACTCTCTTCATGCATCTTCTTGTCCTGCCGATGTCGGTGTCCAGTGACAAGGTTACTGTCCCTAGTCGGTGCCGGCTGCTCTCCCTCCCTCGCCCTGGGGTTACACACCTTCACTCGTGCCGTCACACCTCTAAGCCAGTCCTGGCAAAATGATCCAGGTTATGGAAAAACATCCATTAAAAAAGCCATTAAGTGAACGCAGGCATCTTGACTGAACTGGATACGGGAGCACTCGCAGTGCTGGCAGATTGGGTGGGAGGAGGCGATCCTGGCTCGGCCTCGGCCGGCGCAGGACGTGTGTCGTCACCCTGGTGCGCAGCTCCGCTGGTAGGCAAACGCCTCGCAGGCAATACAAGAGGGAAACATATCAGTTGTTTTGTTCACAGGCAAAAGCAAACCCTGACTATAGAGTTTCGTGCATCCTCTCAGGTCCTTCTGGAGCAGCATTCAGCAATGCGCAGACCTCTCAGACCCTGTACTTAACTCTACCCCCCTCTTTTACTCACCCGAGACATGCAAACAAAGGAGGTGATCGCTTTGTTGTTGAGATCTGGAGGTTGCATCAATAAATACAGCGTTGGAGTTATCCTGCCTCGGGTGCTATAGGTGGGAGGGCATGAGAGAGCTCTGCACCTTCAGACATGGGTAAGTGGGCTGGAGCTAGCACAAGGTGGGAACCTGGAGTAATAGAAGCAGTTGTTAAATGTAGCAAGTGTGGGTTTGTTCTGCCAAGTCGCTGCTTGAGCAGAGGACAAAGGTAGGTGGTGGCACGAAGTCCTCGCACCCTCTCTGAGCTGAGGCAGGACTTGTGTTTATGTGCTAAGGTACACCCACTGGACACCGACATCGGCAGCACAAGCCTTCAGACAACAAAGAGATAAAACAGACAACTGTTTTATCTAGAGGGACATCTGCTGATGAGTTGAATACCTAGATTTTGTTACTCAAAGGCAGAAATAAAGGTTACTCCGCTGTGTAACTGAACTCTTCATTCCCCCCAAGATTCAGTTACCAAGCATAACATTTTTGTGGGGAAAAGATATCGAAGACCTTGTTTGGCTTAGAGGCAAGGCAGAGTAGTCTACTGATTTTTGGTGGTTGCATTTGTTACAGAAATGATCTTAGTGATGTTTGTGACAGATACGGCCAGTGTGTGGCTCTACGTCAACGTGGTACTATTCCTAAGTAGTGCTGATTCTGCCCAGCTCTGGCTGCAACCTTCATTGCAGATCTCAAAACTTGCTTTATTTTTGTTCCCACTGAACAGTTTAAAAACCTGAGGCACACAGAGGTGAAACATTTCAGTTACAGCCGTATATAATACCTGCCTCAGTAGCGTTAATACATCAGCAGCCAGCCACCACGTGTCCCTGCCTCCCCTACCTGCTTCCTTGCCTCGCTGGAGCTCTTTAATTTTCTTTTGCAAGATTTGCAGAAGGCTAAATCTGGGCCTGGAAGTGTTATTTTTAGTATTGAAAATAGGCTCATTTACAAAAATAGATTTTTCTGCCAGTTTAATGAAGCATTTTTGGATGGGGGACAAGGGGAGTATGGCAGTAAGATGGAGGGGCTTTTCATGTCATCTTCATAGCCGTATGAGGGGCAGAGGGTCCATCCTTGGTGTTAGCATCCTCCCAGACCTCCATGAACATTGTCCCATCATGTTCTTCCCCCCCAGTCTGTTTCCAAAACTCCTCTTTACTTATCCACTCACTTTTCCTCCCTCCTGCCACCCCATGTCCTTTAGCACTGCCCCAGATGTGTTCTCCTGCGCCTGCTGCCTGCATTGTCAGCTGCACACAGATTGCATTCCCCTGAATCAATTTTAAGGAGCTGTTGATGGAGGTGGATTTCAGGAAAATGCCTACCGTTCATTTTTCAGTTTCTGCCAGGATGGGTTTCGAGTGTTCACGTTTCAGCTAGGAGGTTCATTCAAGGTCTAGAGCTGAGCAGATGCTGCTCTGGTACACCAGAGAAGTGTTTGTCCTGGGCTTTCTGACAGTATCTGTCTCAGCCTCTTGGGAAGGATGACTGGTATCCAGAGGTGATGTGCTCGTGTGGACTTTGAAATCATCATGAAGGCAGTTGGTACTGCGTTACCTGAGGTAGGTCATATGGCTGAGGTCAGTTAGGAGATGGGGAAAATGACAGTTTAGTCCTCAACTCTGCACAAAAAAAACAAGAAAGAAAGAAAAAAGGGGGGGGGGGGGGAGTAAGGCAATGGGGTAGAAGCTGTTGACCTTGAAGTGCTGTGCTTCCAGGATGCCATCCATCCACTGCCCTGTGTTGAGGTGAGCGCAGGTTTGGATCACTAATCCTTTCTTCTGATCCCGGGGACACCGCATTTCAGAGAGTGCGAGTCAGCAGATGGATTTTATTAGACTTAGAGGAGCCAGTTTTTAAACTGAAAAAGCTTTCAACCTTGTCTTTAGCAGAACGGTGTTGACATGGAGGTCTTTGTCTTTCCTACTGCTTGCCTCTTCCCTCCTTCTCTCCCCCACCTGCAGCACAGCGTTTAAAACCCACCTGAGCACTGCTCACCTAGTGATCACGGCAGCTGTTTGTCATACCAAATGCTTTCTATTATCTTACCTCATATTTGTTTTGGCTTAGATATAGCCCAGTCCCCCAAATGTTGGACATGCTCCCGCTGACATCTGCAGGAGAGCAGTGAGTCCAGCTGTTGACCAAAGTGATCCTAGCGGCAGCTGCTGCCTGTTTGGGGTATGGACCTTGTCAAAGAAGTTGTGATTGTGTCCTGAACACAGAGTGTGTTTTTACTAATGTCCTTCCAAGATAAAAGGCCGCAAAGACGACCACCACTTACGGACTAATGAGCCAGAACCCTCCATCTCATTTGTCATAATCCAGATGTTAGCCTGCTCATTTCAAGGCTGTTACTCAAGCGCAAAAATTGACACAGAGTTGAGAGCGGGTCTACATCACAGGCTTTTGTTGGGGAGGCCGTCAGTCAGGGCTTTGATGGGATGTGTGATCTTTGGCCAACACAGCTGTGCTGACAAGAAGTCCTCAGCATAGACTTCTGCTAGTTATACCAGCAAAATCTTGTTTTTACTGGTATTGCTGACGTGGAGGAGGAGAAGCTTTCCTGCAAGTTGAGTGCTGCCAGTGTGAGCTCTGTCAATGGTGACCTCCCTTTACCCATCCTGTAGACCCCAGTCCAGCTGCTCTGGCAGCCTCCGTGGTAAGAGCTGGCCTGAGTGGGTGCAGTTGTGAGGTTCCTGTTAGGACATCAGGACTGTGCTTGCTTTTATTTATTTTTTTTAAGAGTCTTTTGAATGCATTTTTTAAAATTTACATCTTGTTCTCAAGAAGTCTTTGATTTTATTAATCTTTTCATCTATACATCAATCTGTTGTGTGAAAATGTTGGAACGTGCTTTTATTGTGGCATGGGGTTTCTTCGTTTTTTGTTTTAATTTTTTTGCATAGTTTAGAGAATTATTTTTTCCTGAGGCTCTCCCTCTGGCTTGATCCTATGTGAAAATTGACTGCAGACGTGTCAGGTTCTAGAGTGCCACTTTAGGCCATGTCTTTGAATTTTCTGTTCAGGGATTTCCCGATACCAAATTAAAATGATTCTTTCGCTTTCCTCACATTAAGACAAAGAAAGTGTTTTGGTTGAGTCTGCACATTCAGTTTTGAGCAGACATGAGCTCTCTCTGCTTATCTCCACCAGGTGGGATTCACGCCAACTTTAAACTCAAAGTCTTGTGGTTGCTACAGTGTGAGGCAGAGTCTGGACTAACTTACCTGCTGTCTGTCTCTGTTGCTAGGTTGAGCAACTGATGTAATGCTGTGGTTGTGGTAATTTGGCCAGTTCGAGGCATGGGCAATATGATTAAATCCGCTTGCGTTTGGCCACATAGTCTTAGCCTTAATCTTGGTCACTTACATAATGCTCTTCTCCCTTAGTTCTTACCATAGGTTTAGACCTCAGGTTATGCTTTCATAGTTACAGCCATGCCTTCCTAAAATGTCCATCTGCTTGTGATAGCAGCTGTTCTTGTGAAAACCCTTGTGCAAATGCAATCGTATCTGTGAAAAATAACGCCTTGCGGTATAACTTTAACCCAAGGGGAAGTGAAGGAGGTGTCATTTGGCAGCCAAAAAAAATCAAAACGGTACCTCCTATACATGCCTATCAAAATATAACCTTTCTTCAAGTCACTACTGCTGAGGCAGTTCAGGATCTGTGCAGTTGTTGGACCTTCATTGAAGACAGTGATGTGACAAGGTGTCCTTTTTAACTTTCCTCAAGTGTAAACTAGAAATTGCTCTACTTAATAGTTGATAGCATCATGGTGATAGTTGATCACTTCATCTGGGAAAGGAACTCATCCCTTTGGTTCTGTAGGTAACTGTGAGAGAGTTTGACTTGTGATGACAGGCTGGGGAGGAGAAGGTTGGAGCATGAAAGGCTGCCACCTGGGAAGCGTGCTGCCAAGGCACGCAGCCTGCTTTGCACAGCCTTTCCATCACAGACATTCTTGCTTTAAATACTTCTGCATGGACCAGTGGTATGCTCAAGGACTACACTGAGGTCTCTCACATGCTTTGTGTTGACCTTTCAGAGGCTGAGACACTAGGCTAGTACCTCAAGATCTTTGAATATTTGTTGTCCTTTATATTGTTGACCTATTGCAGGTAAGTGTAAACTTCTTGGTTTACAAAGACATAATGAATTTCTTTTTTTACCTCTACCCTTTGCCTAGGTCCTGAGGGAGACTAATAAATTGGCTGAAATGGAAGAGCCACCTTTGCTACCAGGAGAAACCATTAAAGACATGGGTAAGTGAAGAAGAAATTCCTTATTATTTGCTAACCAAATAGGATATCCATAGAGCAAAATTATCATGGTGGTCATTGACCAACAACAGTGAATTGCTGATATTTTGAGAACCATGATCAGGTTGTTTCAATTAATCAAGTTATTGCACATCATGTAAGCCAAGGTAACTATATGTCTCCTCTTAGCATGTAGCAAATACAAGACAATTCAATATGTCTTAGCATGAGTGTTGAGGTAGGTTGTACAGCTTTGCATTTGCTGCCTCCTGAGAGGATGTGGATCAACTGTTTCAAGTTGTGCTTGCCACAGGGTAACTTTGCTGGTTGACACAGCAGAATTGTGTGTTGAACTTCTATCACAAACTGCAGGAGAGGATACAGTGCTGTTGCAGAGACCTTGCTGTGGTATGGGGATGGGTCTTTTTTTTAAGCCAGACTTTCTGACATGCATCAGGTTTGCTGATGCACTCTAGTCTGAAGTTTTGAGTAAGCCTCTTGATTAATTTTGAAAGATTTTGCAGTTGCTAGTTTAACATGTTACCTTCATCTTAAAATGATATGGAAGCAAGCAACTGCAGTCCTAAGAAACCCCAACACCCTACCAAAAAACCCCACCCAACAACAACAACAAACCCCCCTAAAAACAAATAAAATCCCACCTCAATGCTCAGTCCTTTTCTCTACTGCTTTCCTAAGGACTCTGAACTCATACACCAACCATGCGCTGCAGACTGACATCTAACTCATTCTGCAGGCACAGTTAGCTCTGACAGCAAGACTGTATTTTGAAGGGTTCATGGGGAATGGTTTAAGAGGTCATAGTTACCAGTATTTTGTCTGTTGGCAAATGTTGTGATGAGCCATGTAAGTCTGAAGACTGGATGGCTTTCAGAGTAGGCCAGGCAGCTGCTTGGTCCAGCAAGAACTTAAAGGTAGCAAAAAGGAAAACTTTATTATTAATCAGCAATAATTATTTCCTGTTAAAAGTGTCAAGAAAGGCAAATACAATTCTCTTTGTATTTTACAAGGAGGGGAAGAAAAATTATTTCAGCCAACCCAATAATCTAGGGTAAGATTTGCCCTATAAAAGACAGGAATTCCATAAGCAGGGGAATTAATAAATCCTGGTTTCCAGTATCTTTCTCCCATATGGATTCTCTTAGATCTACCAAAGGCTGAGCTTATTAGACTTTCCCTTGGTAGTAGCACTAGTACAACCTCTCTCATACCTGGCATCCATTCTCACAAACAGTGAAGGATCTTAATGCCGTGGAGATCCCTGTTTATCAGATAGAGACTGCTGAAATTATACAACCGTGGTAGGGTTAAGGTCAGACAAGCCATGTGTACATGCGCAGTGTAATTAAGTAGAATTGTTTCCTTAGGAAACTAAGCAAATAAAATGTAAATGTGAAAGGTGATGCTGCTTACAAGCTGGCAAGGTCAGTGTTTGAGATCATGCCTGGAATTCCTTACCTGGAAAACTTTTTTCTGCCACCTTTCCACAGAAATCCTGTTCTTTTTCAGATGTAAGTGCACACTTCTCTTATTATTAGATTTTGGTTTATTTTTTTTAAACATTTTGAAATTACATTTTGAATAATGAGAATTCTAGTGGAAAAACCAGGCAGGCTGCCCTCACCCTTATTATGCTTCATGAGTCTGCTTTCAAACCTCTGTCAAACTAGTCTTTGAAAAGAAGTGATTAATAATCGGCCAGTAATGAAACACTTAGTTTAATTAGAACTGGCTAGAAGCATTTTGTGTTTAATTGTCCTCGCAACAAATGCATGTAAATTAAAATAAATAAATAAATAAATAATGAAATTGCTAGCATGTGTGTATATTTTTTTTTTTATTTTATGTATTTTTAACCAGGAATTCTGTGCTATGTATTTTGCTCTGAATTAGTCACTCCTGATTTTTTAAGGATCCTTCTCCATATCCAAATCTGGAGAGTCAGTGAAAACTGTGCAGAAGCAGAGCTGACGTGAGGATGATTTAGTTATATGAGCTGCCAGTGCCCTGCAGTAAGGCACCCTCCCTCCTCCCTCCCTCCCTCCCGGCTAAATCTCATGGGATAAAGGTAGAAGAAATCAGGTCCCTGTCCTGACACCCCAGCAGCCTCGCGCCTCTTGTACGTGGTGGCTGTCACCTGCCTGGGAGGCGAGCTGTCCTCCTGACTTCACACAGCCCTTGCAAAATGGATCCCGTAGGGTTTGGAGGCTTGAGGTTATGAAGATGGTCAAGGGGGTTCTTTCATGGATCTGGCAGCTCTGGTCAGTGGGTCTCCTAAAAGGGTCTCTGTTTGAGGGGGGTCATTATTTGTTGGTGATAGCGTAGACGATTGCCACGGCACAGCCAGCCAACTGCTTCTGTGGCAGAAGACGTGATGGGTCACTGCGGGGCGGTGGGGGGAATGACTTAAATGCTGACGTTTTTAATTGATGTAAAACAGAAGGGCAGTTAGGGAAGGTGTTTGCTGTGGAAAACCAGCAGCACCTCCTGCCTTTTGCTGGAGCAAGTGAGAAACGTTTGAGGCCTTTTAAGAAGGGGACTGTTTTGAGTCACCGTCACTCAGGCTCAAAAATAATTGAGTTGTTGCAGAGTAACTTGATCGCTGACTTCAGACTTAAAATCACCAGCGGTTGGGTGCTATACAGGTTCATGACTGCTGGAAATCGCTGTAGCTCTGCTGGCTTTCAGCATGAGGGCCTTCATCGCAGGGCTAACTCTGCGTGCAGGGGTGTGCAAAGGACCCAAGCATCCTAAAAGCCGATGTAGAACTGCCTTCTCCTGTCCTTGGTGGCACAAACCAGCTTGTGGACGATCCTTAGCTTTTATGCAAATTAGTTATCAGCTTCAAACATAATGCATCCGGCAGGAATCGTCTCCTCTGTCTGTGCGTGGTGTTCTCAGCTACTGGCAATGCATTGCTCAGTAAGAGTAAAGAGTTTGCAGTCACATACTGGCTTTTTTACAGGGGTAGCAGTTCTGTGCAAATGTAGGATTCTAGATGATGGTACTTGCCTGGAGTTCAGTTTATACCCAAACTCTTACCTTCTCCACTGAACTGAAACTTGCATGTTAGCTCTAGGCTAGAACCCCAGATTAAGCTTGTTTTCATTTCATGATCTGAAAAGTAGAGCCCCCAAATAATGTTGCTGTCATAATTTTGCTCCCATAAATTAACCATGAAATTAACAACTTTTTTTTTTTTTTCTTCTTTTTTTAAGCTAAGGATGTTACTTACATCTGCCCCTTCACCGGAGCAATCAGAGGAACCCTCACTGTTACCAATTATAGACTGTATTTTAAAAGCATGGAACGGGTAAGCTTTTGAAACCATCTGCTTTTGTTGGCTACTCGATCTTTAGACCTAGGTATTCTTTGAGAGTAATTCTGTGTGAATCATAGCTATGTGTGTGGGAATATAAGCATAAGGAAACAGGAGCTGGGGATTTTTCCCCCTCCCCTTTTTAAACTCACAAATTTCAACTGTCTACAGGACCCTCCTTTTGTCCTAGATGCATCTTTAGGTGTAATCAACAGAGTGGAGAAAATTGGAGGTGCTTCCAGTCGTGGTGAGAATTCATACGGGCTGGAGATTGTATGCAAGGTAAACTTTTATCTGTGTTTTACAATAGGGGAAGGGGAATATATATTTTAAAAGGTTTTCTCTGTAGTACTGTAGGATGTTTTGCAAAACATTTTGGTCAGTATGACTACACACATTTCAAAAAACACCTGATTTTAAAAGTAATTTTCAAGATTCTCCAGCTCCACTCATTCAAGATGCAATCCAAACCTTTATTCAGGCTTTGTGCTAGGTAATGTCTTTTCTTCATAGTGGAAGCCTGGGCTGCATCCCACTAATGCAGTTCTCAGGCTTGCCCCACCAGGCTATCCCAGGAAGACCCCAGTCATTGTGGAGTACAGGATGCGTTTCACTCACTTGCGTTTCAAGGGCAAGAAAGGGGCATGTTTCCCCCTAAATTGTTACGTTACATCCACCTGCTTTCTGGTGAGAGACTGGCAAGTAGCCTTCAGTCCTCCTCAAGGCTGTTCTTTCATTTATTTCAAGGCAGTACACATTTCACATGTGCCTCTTAAGAGCCCTTGGAATCATTGGAAATGCAAGCTTCAATAAAAATTAACAATTCACTTTGTCATGGCTACTTACTATAGACCTACGAAGTAGATAAAGCCACCATTTCCAGTCCTAAATCCATACCTCTGCTGTTCACCAGGGCATGGCCCCCCTGCTTCCCACAGCGGCCATGTGGGAGAGCCTCATTCTGAACCTTGTAGGTCTTGGACTGCTTAGAGCTCTTGTCAGAGCCCCCTCAAGGCTGAAAGGATGCCACGTTCTGGGCAAGGGCAGATGGAGGAATGAAAATGAGTCCCAAACTGCTCCGGTCACTGCTGTGACTTTGAGGCACCAGGAAGCTAGGCAGGCTCTCAGGCCGTGGGCGTGCTGAGTCAAGTGCAGTTCTTATGGTCTATATCAAATCATCCAGCTGCTCCCTCGTCCTACTGCAGTCATGATCCTCCCTGGCTAACGTAGGGGTGCTCATGCTGGCAAGTTGATTTGTTCCCCGTTTTGGGAACAAATTGCCTAGTCCTCAGCCGTCTTGCCATATGCAAATTTGCACACATGGTTAGGTTTGGCATGAACTGCATTGTTCCCCTGTGTGGGAAACCCAGGCACAAACTATATGATAGGTATCTTGGCCCTATACAGCATATATATATGCCAGCCTGCTTGGCCCAGGACATGCAGAGCAGTTTAGTGCGATAACAGAGTAGTACAGATACAGCTTATGCATCCTGAAACGTTCTCTGTCCAAGACCAATTACCAAATCTCAGTCTTGTGGGACAGCTAAGTCTTAAGCTGTTTATCTCATTCTCTGACTTGCTGTGCCATCTTCATATGCTTGAACTTGATAGCTCATTTCCTGCTTGGTGGCTTTTAAACTGTTTACTACAAGTGCTTGGGTTGTAGGCTTAGCTGGAAAATTTTGGCATCATAGAGGTGCTTTATTTATTTTCTGAATTTGATTTTGTAGATGAGTATGGAAGGGAGGTCTTGGGTTACCACTCTTTGCGGAAACTGTGCTGCTGTGCAAAGTGGAGGAGTTTTCAGTTTGAAGACATCCTCCTGAGTGCTCTGAGAGATGGAAGCTTTACAGGGAGATGGCAATGAGCTGCTTGGTCTTGGGCTCCCTGTGTGCAGTACCTCACTTTGTGAGGCAGTCCCTTCCACTGTCTTGGGGCACAGCTCAGCCTGAGAGCCCAGTAAGAGCTAGAAGGTCTGTCTCACAAAGTCCTGCCAACCAGCAATAGCTTGTCCCTGAGCAAGGCTCTCCCCTAGACTTTAAGCAGGTAGAGAGCTTTGTGCTGCGATCAGGTGCACCGATGCACTCCCTCTGCTCCTCTGCAGTTGTGGCAGGCTTTGTTGGAGGCTGCAGCCGACCACTGAACCAAGTGCAGAGTTGCAATACAACAGTGTTCCAAGTACGATATTTAATCAGTACTAGAAGGAGTATCATGATGTGACCCTGTTTTGAATGCTGGCTTTTGGATTTTCTTTGGATTTTCAAGTGGTTCAGAAATCTGCAATTTGATTTCCCTTTTTTTTTCCCTAGGATATTCGAAACTTGCGATTTGCTCATAAGCCTGAAGGGAGAACTAGACGATCTATATTTGAGAACCTAATGAAATATGCTTTCCCAGTTTCAAATAATCTGGTAAGTATTTTCTTTTCAGTTTTTACCAAAAGACATAGAGTGGCAGTAAGTTGTTTTGTTCAGTGCCTTCTACTTGGAACAATGTTCACATGGGATGCGTTTTGTTTAAGGAGGAGAAATGCTGGTTAAGTCTGTTTTAGAATTAATTCTATCAGACTTTAGATGGTATAGAAAACAGGAAAAGTCTATTACTGTGGGGCTGGATTCCTTCTTGCATGGAGGATGACTTACTGGTACATCGTTGTAACAGAGGGGAAATACTCAAAGCACAGTGACATCTATCAGAGGTATACATGTAATGGTGACTGCACTGCCCCAAATCTGGAATGCAGTTCATCTGCTCTGTGGTGTTATGACACTGCAATTGTTGCTTCAAGCACTGGTTGAAAGGATCTCGTTCTTAAAATGTAAAAGCATTCTTGTCCAAGTAGTCTTCTTTCTCTCTTTAATAATAAACTCGTTTTGTCCATGAAGTACTAGGTAACAGACAGGCAAGATTGGGGGTATAGAGGAAGGTACATTGTTGTACTAATTACCTTCTACAGCGAGCATGTTAGTCTTTTTTCACAAAGCCCTAAAAGAAAAGTAGTGTAGTGGGAAAAAAGAAGAACCAGTCGTGAGTTACTATTTGAGATATCAAACATCCTGGAAACGGGCTCTGAGTGCGCTCTTAATGGTAATTTTTCTTTCTTTCAGCCACTTTTTGCATTTGAGTACAAAGAGGTTTTCCCAGAAAATGGATGGAAGGTGTATGACCCCACTTGGGAGTACAGAAGACAGGTAGGTACTGTGCCATGTCCTTCCTCATCCTCGCTACTCTTCGGAAGTGAGGCTCTGTGCAGCAATATAATTACAGGTCACATGGAACGGAGAATGATCCCGCTGACAAATGTCATGCAGGCTGGGTTAGGACATTATTCTCCACATTGCAGTGATGGATGACAGCAGTACAGCTTTACAGATAGTAGCATCCACTAGATGGCGATTACTCAGACTGCAGAGAGCTGACTTCAGGCTTTGGCAGAAAAAACTATTGCTTTGACTTAGTCATCAGCCACTGCTGGCAGTTAGGAAGAGAGGATGCATTTTGTGGGTACAGACATCCCATTGTTGAGTTTCACACCTCAGCTCTTGCTTGTATCAGTTTTAATCAGTTTTTAGGTCATCTAATCCAACCCCCCTGCAATGAGCAGGGACATCTTCCACTAAATCAGGTTGCTCAGAGCCCCATCCAACCTGACCTGGAATGGTTCCAGGGATGGGGCATCTACCACCTCTCTGGGCAACCTGGGTCAGCGGTTCACCACCCTCATTGTCAAAAATTTCTTCCTTAGGTCTAGTCGAAATCTGCCCTCTTTTAGTTTAAAACCGTTACCCCTTGTCCTATTGCAACAGGCCCTGCTAAACAGTCTGTCCCCATCTTTCCTACAGGCCCCCTTTAAGTACTGGAAGGCTGCAATAAGGTCTCGCCAGAGCCTTCTCTTCTCCAGGCTTAACAACCCCAGCTCTCAGCCTGGCCTCACAGCAGAGCTGTTCCATCCCTCAGATCATTTTTGTGGCCTCCTCTGGACCCACTCCAACAGGTCCGTGTCTTTCCTGTGCTGAGGGCTCCAGAGCTGGATGCAGCACTGCAGGGGGGGGTCTCTCCAGGGTGCAGTAGCGGGGCAGAATCCCCTCCCTCGACCTGCTGGCCACGCTGCTTTGGATGCAGCCCAGGAGACGGTTGGCCTTCTGGGCTGTGAGTGCACATTGCTGGCTCATGTCCAGCTTTTCATCCACCAGGACTGCCAAGTCCTTCTGGGCAGGGCTGCTCTCCATCCCTTCGTCCCCCAGCCTGTAGTGTTGCCCCAACTCAGGTGCAGGACCCTGCCCTTGGCCATGTTGAACCTCATGAGGTTCACATGGGCCCATTCCTTGAGCAATGATCATGAAGTAGTAGGCTGTCAGTTAGGAATACTGCAATAAAAAACGAGTAGTCCTTGAGTGGAGAATTCTGGTTTTTATGATGAAATCACTCTTGTCATAAAGTTCTCAAGTTAAGGAAACAGCACAGTTTGGTGACAGTTTTGCCCTGGACACAGTAAACCTTTGTCTCATCCAGATCTGACAGGATAAAAAGTTTTCCTTGTAAAATTAAGAAATTTACAGCCATGTAATTTAAAGATTTATTTGGGTCTTTCCCATAAAGCAAACAAAAACAAGCTGTTTGTGTTAGCCTAGTTGTTCATCTGATTCCTGACATCCAAAACCTAATGAAAGGATTCATCTCCCTAGCTTTAGAAGACTAAAGCTGGGCATGCCTTCTAAATTGGTTATCTAGGCCTGTCGTTAACAGATGGGAAGAGAGAGCCTCACTGTTGGGGGTGATTTGTTTCCTCCTAAAATAGCTGCCTAAGATAGATCGCTGGCTTCTAGGCTGCTAATTGAAAGTGAGATGTATCTTACCGCTGCTGTCTTCATTGCAAAAGAGCGTATGTTTTGCAATGAGATACCACAGTCTAAAATCTTATTGGAGACAAACTCCAATCATTTGTAATCAACAACACACATTGTATCTAAGGTCGACTTTGACTAATAAGACCAGATGATGCATCAATTATTGTTTTGTTTTGAATTTACCTCTTTCTTGGTAGTTATTTTAAGGAAAGATCTATTTATAAAGAAGGATCTGCAGCCCAAGCTGTATGGGAAAGATGCCTCTTTACAGGCCTAAGAACTTTAAAGTAAAGACTAAATACCTGTGCTATCGAAATAATCTCCATTGAAAAGCACCGTGTTCACTTAGCCAAGCTTCCGTTAAAAACAGAAGAAATAAAAAAGACATTTTTATAATACCTGGAAAGAAGGAAGGGTGACTCTTGAGAATTTCAAGGTGAATTATGCCAACTTCTTAATCCTGGCATGTCTGTTTTTAGAATACAGGCTTTTCTATCCATATTAGTTTTTATATTGTGATTGGCTGTACCTTAAATTTGGCAGGAGCTTGGTCACATAGTGAAAGGAGACATGTATTTACATGCATGTGATTTGCAGCTCTTCATGACCTTTCTGTAAAGAAAATGGGACTCCAGGCCATGGTGTCTGTCTTTCTGGTCACATGAGATAGCACTGCTGTGTGTAAAGCGTGTCGCGATTGAGACATTGCTGCAGCATGTCTTCTGTTATGACCTGCTTTTGTACCATTTTTGAGTAATCGGGAAAACAGCCTGACTGATTTTATGTCAAGAAACCAAAGTCAAGTCCATATGCTGAAGCCCCCGGTCTTTTGCTTACATTGGTAACTGCAGAAATGAATCCAAACCAGGATTTTTTGCAGCCATGGCCTATCTGAATTTTACCCCTGGTGGACCACAGTCATTCCCATTCCAGATCACGCAATCCATCTGTCCCAGTAGCTTATCTCCAAAAGTGACCAACACCAGCTGCTGAAGAAGAGCCAAACTGTACCGCAGTAGATGATTATGTTGTTTATGTTGTGATCTGGCCAGGAGGAGGATTTCATCTGTGATCCCTTTCGTTAGAGTTGATTTAGGTCCTGCAGCATGAAACTTTACGTTCTCTCCAAAACTTTTAGGTATTTCAGTCTGTTTATTTAATTTCAGGATTTATAACTATGGATGTTCAATTTATCTGTGTGAATATCAGAGCCTTTTTTCTTAATCCAACCAGGTTCTGTTAAAGCAATAACAAATACTACAGTAAATCAGCATTATGTCCTGAAATGGCAACAGAGATTCGTTAACAGTGAAACAAAACTGGCATCATCAAATCAGATAATGGGATTACCTGTCTCTGACTGTATGAATCATGATCAGAAATAGAAAAGCAGGACATATGCACTGTCTGCAGGACCTTTTGGAATTGGTTTAAAAACTATTAGAGAAGAGCTGGCTTAGGGCATAAGCAGCCCAGCAGCACGGCCAGGTGTTAACTTGGTGTATCTTAGGCCAGGTCAGTCGTTGCCCTGTGGGAGCAGGGACACAGAGAGAGGGGAGCGGAGCAAAAGTAGAAGCCAACTGCCAGCCATCCAGAAAAGACTTTTCGAGTAGGATTCATGGTAGGATCTATGTCTACACTGGTAGACATGGTGAGTTTGCGTGTGGTATGATTTATTTATTTATTTATCTTCATATTAATGTAAGTGTGTTGATATGATAGAGGTTGTAGCAATTAGGAAAGATATTCAGTAAACCCCTGACTTCTCTGTTAGCGTTCTTGGGAAAGATGGAAATATGTAACTTATTAAAAATCTGTGATTGTGTAAAACTATGGGGAGTAATAAACAACCTGTAGAGAACAAAAGGAACTCAGAGAGGTTTGGGATTTAGTCAGTAAATGGAATCACATGTGGCAAATGAAATTTAAAACTGAAATTACTCCCTGATTTTTATTGCACGCGGGCTGGCAGAGTATAAAACAGAATTGCAAAGTGAATAAGACTCAGTTGAAACCAAAAGGCCTTGAGATGCCTTTGGAGTAACTCAAAGCTTTCATTTTCCTTAACAAGGTGGGGAGCATTTGGAAAACATTACAAGGAGTTGTGAAGCTGGAAATGTGTGATGTTTCCCTACAGAAGTCATGCTCATCCAATCTTATGCTCTGGTTGTATGTACCAGCAAGCCACAGTATAAGGCTGTGGTTGCTGCTTTCACAGAAAACATACAGAAATTAATAATTCAGAAGAGGAGCTGACAAGTTTTGAGGATAAATGAGGTGCCCAGCATTAGTATACAAGCAGAGTGGGAAAGGTAGAGCATGAGAACAGCATCCTGCAGAGGATTGTAGGGTGTAATTTAGGGGAATAAAATGAGAATTGAACTGTTAAATGTCCCATGGTTTAAGTGAGGTCCTGCTTGTGCTAGGTATGTCGCTACTGCAAAACAGATCACAGCTCTCTTGTGCTAAGTGGACACATCCTGGGCTGAGTACACAGCAGAGGGACCAGCTGGGCTCTGGCAGCTGTATCCTATGTCAGTGTAGGGATGCGCCTGAGCTAATGCGCTCGGCCTCTTTGTATCTCATGGCTTAAACCAAGTCTGAGAGAGGCACTGCTGGTGTGTCACTCAGGACTCTCCCTGCCTTGCCTGCAGCAGCTAAGGGTGTACCTGCATGGCTGAGCTTAGAATTGGTCTACTGGATCCTGTAGAAAGATGTGACTGTGTGTAATTCTAGCAAAGAAATTCTTTTTTTTCAGTCCTCAGGTGCTTAAGCTTAAACATGTGCTTTGCAAGGTGGAGGTTTCAGTGCCATGCTGGTGTGTCTTCAACAGGTTTTCCCTGCAAACGAAGAAACTCCATCTTCTACAATGCGCGTAGGCCAAGTGATAACTGAGCACAGGTCATTAAAGTAAGGCATGAATGACTGTCCAGAGGGAAACCAAGTCTGAGTTTGTGTGTGGAGATGACACAAAGGCTGTGTCTCTATATAGGGTTAGATGATACAGTCGTAACGAGTGTTCCCAAGCACTGGGGCACCTTCACAGCATTTCCAGGCATAGCTTCAGTCCAGACTGATACCATCCTTTTTTCGAATGTGTTCGAGCACCTTTAGCCATGCATGATGACACTCTGCCAGCAGGGTGTATGTAGGTTGAAAGTGTAAAGCAGTTGTTTACTGGCTAACACACAAAAAAAGATAGCAGGGACTTAATTAGCTATTAGGCTGAGCATTAGTACTCACCACCTCAGCGAAGGCATCTGAAGAGACTTTCCTGGCCAGGCAAGCACTAGTGAAAGGAGAAGGATCTGCACCTCCCTTAGTTGGGTTGTTGTTGCCATCTTCCACCAGTAATGTCAACACCAGCACACAGATGAGCCGGGTGTTGGTCCTCACCAAATGACTGCCTACTAGACTCGCAGTTTTTCCTTTTGGATTTTGTACCATTTTGTGATGTTGTTTTCCCTCTTGAAACCTTGAGCTACCAGCAGTCTCCATCTCAACGATCCTCTTCCTCTGTCTGCAGTTTTACATTTCTTGCCTTTCTATAGGTGTTCCCACAGCTCTTTTGCGTGACTTTGCCCCATCCTTGGCGGTCTGAGCTGCGGCTGTGCTGGGCCACATCACAGCTGGGACATGAAGAGGCAGTCGGAGTAGAGAAGAGGGAGGGCTGCAAGGCCAGCTCCCCTGCTGCCAAACCTGGGCACAGTTCAGAGGCTGACACAAGCCAAGGATCACCAGTAGGCTGTTTGGACAAACTGCCCCTGTTTTGAGGATAAACAAGTTAATAGTAAAGATGTGAGGTGCGCTGTGCCTGCTGGTCTCAGTGAGAACAGTTCCTCACTTTGCCCTCCGGCAGCAACCGGACACGTGAGTTCCCTGAAATCAGGGTCTACTAGTGGTGTTAGTTTACCTGGAGGAGACAGACCTGGTGCACCAGTCAGGGCAGCATGCTCTGGTCGCTAACGTGGACACATGGCTGCCACGTTCCCCAACAGCTTCTGGACCACCACACCGGCTGTTAGTGAGGCAGGTTCCTCCTGCAGGTGCACAGGCTGGTGGCTCCCAGAGCTGGTCCTGAGCCTGCGGGGGCTTCTTGAGTTACATCTGTAACAGTTTGGGTTGGTATGATAGTAGGCTTTTGGGTGCTTACAACTTTCCAGGAAGCAGTGAAATGCATCTTATATAAGGAAATACCAATGTGTTTTATATCATGTTTAGTTTTTTCTATTGATTCCAGATGGAGAAAGTGCAAATCTGAAGGAGCATGAATAAATACACAAGCTACACTGCGTTATGGCAAACGTCCTGGGAAGATGCAAATTTAGCTCCTCTTCTAGCCTGCGTGGCTTATTTATGCTTACTTAGAGAAAGTCACAATCAGAATCCAAAGCCCTCTTTGGGTGGTGCTGTGATTCAAGGCTTCTGTGCCAGGGGAAAGCAGACATTCCTTGTGATGCAAAGGAAATCTGAACGCTGACACACAGCATCTTTTCTTTCTTTGAGGGATTGGCATGGATTTTCCTGGTCTGGGCTATTGCAAAGGAAAGATATCTTTCAAATTTGTTGGGGTGGCAGCTGAAAGACTTAGAGCTTTGGAGGTATCGGTTCTGGATTGAGCAGCTTCTGCTGAAGCCATTCTGCCCAGCACTGTGAAGAGGGTGCTTTATAGTGCCAGTGGCTGCTTGATCTCAGTGAGCCCTGGTAGAGCTGCAGGGTAGAAAAAAATGGAGCTTTTCTTCCATGTAACTGCTTGTCAGCTTCCATTTTCCTTGCCAAGAGTGTGCCAACAGCATAGTTTTAATTCAGATTTGGGGAGGTGAAATCTCCAAGCGTTGCTGAGGGATCCATTGCAGTGCAGTCATGTACTTAACAGGAACAGGACTGAGAACAATGTAGTCATTTGCCATTAGTTCACTTCCAGATAGTAACCAGTTTGATCACAGCTGATGGACAGCTAAGAGCAACAACAATCTTGCTATTCCCTGTTTGACAGCAGAGCTGGTGAACCCAGGAGATTCCATCCTTGCTGTGTACCGCAGGTAGACCTCTGAGCATGTGTTACCCATCAGTAAGCTTGGACCGTGCATACACATTGTTTGATGCCCGCTTCTGCCACTTCTTTGGCTTCAGGCAGTGCCAAAACTAGCTTTCCTTTAGGGTTTTAGGGTACTGGTGATCCTGGCAGCTCTGCTGATTTATTGTAGTAACATTTTCTTCCCAGGGAGGGCTCCAGGACCAGGGGTGGTTCACAAACAGGTTGTGACCAGTATTAAGCAGAAGGTCTGTCCTCTTCTCAGATTTCTAACCATGACCTGTTTTGACAGCGTGACTCACCGCTCTGATGGGGAACCAGCTGCAGTTTGTGTGGGTCAACCATAATTACCACAGCTCGTCTGACTTGTGTTAGATTTGTCATTCATTTCCTGTGGGAGCCACGACAGTGGTAATCAGTGTCCCACCACTCTCCTTAAAATGAAGTACTGTTTGTTAGAACAGAAGCACGTATTGTTTTAAGAGCTGATGTTCCTCTAAAACAGATTCTGCGCTTAACAGTCTGGCCGTGTTCACTGTAGTAGGTCTGTCCTCCCCACAGAGATGCTTTGTGTCAGTGCTTACCCCTGCTGCAGCATGTTTCTGTTTAAATCTTTCCTTGCAGGCACACAGTAGCAACCACACCGTTTTGATCTGTTAACTCCCAGCATCAGCCAAAGTAAGTCTGCAGTTGTCAGGATCATCCCCATCGTGCTTCGGGTGTTACCTGGAGGTTATCATCTGGGAAGCTGTGGAGTTGCTTCCCCATCAGGGCACGCCGAGCTCGGTGATGTGCGTGTGTAGATTCCATGCTCTTCCAGCCCAAGTCAGACTAGTACAACCAGAGAGCTTAGTCTGAGAGGAACATGGGAGTTAGTTACACATCGCTGTCCAGATCACATACACTCACGCAGCGAGAGACATACAATTACCAGATTTCTGATGTTTTTAGGGGATTGCACAGCTGTACCACAAACACTGAACAAGGCCTGAAACACATTGATTTTTTGGGGGTGTTTTACTGCCTGTTCTCCCTTCTGTCTTCCCCCTTCATCCTGTCTGGTAACTCCACTTTCTATCCCAGTTTCCACCCACTACGTTTGAGCTAAGTACTGAGAGAGAAGTGAGGACTGTCGGTCACCCACTCTGTCCCACTCCTGGCTCTCCTGTAAGCACCATGATGAGACCAGGAGGTATGTTAAAGATGCTTTCAGGGGGTCACTTGTGTTGCCACATCTGTAGCCTCCATAGTTCCTTTGCCACAGGTGAGCCTGCCTGAAATCTTCTAGTTTTCTTGTTCTTCAGTGACCTCAGCAAAACATCTACCTCTCTGGGAACAGGCGTGAAATGCAAGTTACCAAGATAAGGCTGTCCCAGGCTCCAGCCCTAAATGTCCTTCATTAACAAAAGTTGCCTTGAATTTCAGGTCTGGGGATTTGACTGTGCTGAGGTCTCAGAGCAACTCATTTGCTAACCTGCTGTTGTTTCCTTCTTAGGGGATTCCCAATGAAAGCTGGAGGTTGACCAAGATTAATGAGCGCTATGAGCTGTGTGATACATATCCTGCCATTCTAGCTGTGCCCGTAAACATTCCTGATGAAGAATTAAAGAGAGTAGCATCTTTCAGATCGAGAGGGCGCATACCAGTGAGTGTAACAAAAGAATCCATTTTGATGTGGTGGTGTTACATACCTTTGGGCCATAAATAATACCAAGATTGGGCTGAGTGGATTCCAGGGACCAAATAAATGGTCAATGGATAATAAAAGTGACAGAAACATATTTGAGTAGTTAGAAAGCAACATTATCTGCTGGAACTACCGTTGTGAAAGAGATGTAGACTAAACCAAAACGAGAAGATAAGATAATTTAGCACAACCCAGACCGAATCTCAGTTCAGTTCCTGGGAAACAGAAAGCAGCCCTATTTGGTTGTTTACGATTGTCTGGCCTACTATGACTTTCAGGATAGAAAAGTCAGTGATACTCTTGATGAAAATGCTTATTAAATGAAATGAAGACAAAACATATTGTTATGATGATTATTTCAGCAGTAAATGAAAAATGTACCTTTTTACTTCTGAAGCATAAAAATTTAAATTTGTTCCCAAAGTGCTTAATTTTTACATGGTGTAACGTAGGGTAAGACATAGCCCAGTGATTGCAGAGCGAGAAAATATCTTTGTGACTCACACAAGAGTGAGAAAACAATCTGCATCATAGTTAAAAGTCAGACTTAAACCTATTCGGTCACCTCTTGTTTGTTCAAACTTTGGGAATGCCACCAGAATGAATAAGGACAGAAAAGTTACTTCTTTCATTCAATCACAATTTAATAGAATTTAATTGGGACCAGCTAAGAAATACATGACAGTATCCCAGAGCAAGCCGTTACAGGTAAAACACTTCACTGGTTTAATGAATCCCATTTTTCCTTCGTTTTTTTCTCATTTGTTTCTGCAGGTTTTGTCATGGATTCACCCGGAAAGTCAAGCAACAATCACTCGCTGTAGCCAGCCAATGGTGGGAGTGAGTGGAAAACGAAGCAAGGAAGATGAAAAGTACCTTCAAGCCATCATGGATTCTAATGCTCAGTCCCATAAAATCTTCATATTTGATGCAAGGCCTAGTGTGAATGCTGTAGCCAATAAGGTCAGGTGCTTTCTCCTCTGTCTAAAGCTGGGAATGTCACAATTTGGAGCACATTTCCCACCAGCATTTCCAATTATTCCTGAGGATCACAAAGGGTTTTCCACTGTGAAGGGAATGATATACAATGATCTGATTCTCTAGACAGACTTTTACACCCGCACTGGTACCTGTAAGATGTCAGTGTGACTACTAAAGGTCCATTTGAATTAATCTACGATGCGAAACGAGATTAGAAGGGGAAAAAAAGAAGTCAAGGTAGTACTGAGGTCGAACGCTAGCAACCTGGATCTTTTGCACCACCATTTTTAACTTCACATGGTTGAAAGACTGCTTCCTCTAACAGCATCAGATCTCTGTCCCTGTTAACCCTGATGGGTGTAGGCGCTACTCAGCACTTCTGAAAATCAGGCATCATGGTCTGTAATTTCAAAATACAAGCTGGGAGTCTTTAATGTCTAGGAATGTTGCCATGTTCTTCCTGCTCTTAGGTCTCATGCCATCACTCTAAGCCCTGTTTCAATGGTAGAACTGCTTTGTTGCACTAAATCTGTTTTTTTTTCAATTTTTTTTTTTCAAATCTGTCTTTCCCACTACTTAGAAAAGGCAATTAGTGTGTGGGATAGACTCCTCTATAATAGTATGGTAACTTTGTAAATGACAGAATAGTGAATCTAATGAGCTAGTAGCTTGAATGGGGATAAATGATAATTACAGAGAAAAAGAAGACTTGTAATATGATATTCTTTGGTAAGAATTATAGCATTCCTTACTATTGCAGGAAAGAGACACAAAGTGTGTGTGTTTGTTACCAATTGTAAGAGAAATCCAATGTTTTCTGCCTGCTTTAGGTAGCACAATCACTGTGGTATTTTGTCAGCTGATATTTTCTTAGGACAAACAATTGGGATAAAATACAAAATATGTTTTTGCTTAATGATTTTTATGTGGATTTTGTTCTTCAGGCTAAAGGAGGGGGCTATGAGAGTGAGGATGCCTATCAGAATGCAGAATTAGTGTTCCTGGACATTCACAATATTCATGTTATGAGAGAGTCGCTGAGGAAACTGAAAGAAATTGTGTATCCCAATATTGAGGAGACTCACTGGCTGTCTAATTTAGAGTCAACTCACTGGCTAGAGCATATCAAGGTATGCATGTCTGCATCCACTGGATGTGGCTAAGTAACCACAAGTCCGTACCAGTCTGTTCACTGGGAAATGTAGCCAGAGCTAACTCCAGTGCTGGATTTTCAATTCATGAGAAATGCAAAGACTTACAATTTGTTTTCAATTTAAAAACAACTAAAACCCCAGTTTCTTGGAATGGGGAATTTTGAGGAGATGGGAAAAGGGACAAGAGAGAAGGTTGAAATACTGCAAGATGGTGTTTTGGAGGTATAAAGAGTGTTCCTTGGTAATGTGTAACTGTAAAAACCTTGGTTAGAGCACAGGAGTCCCAGAGTTTCCAAGCTCTCAACTCGGGGATCCTCAGCATCCTGGTGTTACTGCCTGGTCCAGACCAGCGGATGTTGGGAGTTCATGCCCAGTCAGTCTTTCAGAAATCCAAGCAGAATCAGAATGAATGGAGAAAAATTCTTCAGCTTCTACAGATGTTGGTTTTCAAATTAAGCTCGCTCTTTCCTAAAAATGTCCAGCTTGCATTGTCTGCCTGCTAATGCAGGAGGGGGCAGTTGCAAGTTGATGGCCATTTTATGTTCGTGTTCAGACACAGAATGCTCCTGTGTTTAAATCCCAGTCTGTCCAAGGACCGAGCTTAATGCAGAGGCTCTTCTAGAGTTGTGCCTACACTACAGTTTAGATGTGTTGTCATCTTGCTGGAACAAGAAATGTGTTCATGAATTTGCTGTCCTAGTTATGAAGTAGTTGGAACTGATTTACCATTCTCCTTGAGGCAGACAGAGCCCTTGGTTTGTCCTGTGTTGTCACTAGCCATTTTTCATTTGCAGTTTATGTTCCAAGAGATTTTGTAACTTTTTTTTTTTTTTCCTTGTCCCAGCTCATTCTCGCTGGAGCCCTTCGGATTGCTGACAAGGTGGAATCGGGGAAGACGTCCGTGGTTGTACACTGCAGTGATGGCTGGGACCGGACAGCCCAGCTCACCTCTCTCTCTCTGCTCATGTTAGATGGCTACTACCGAACTATCAGGGGCTTTGAAGTGCTAGTGGAGAAAGAGTGGCTGAGCTTCGGCCACAGATTTCAGCTGGTGAGTCACTAGCCCTTGGAAGGCACCAAACAGAAAGTTATTGTCCACCTTGAAGGATTTCAAAGGAGTTTAGCCTTTCCTGTGAGAAGTCTCCCAGCTGAACTCGCAGAATAAAGGTGAATGCTACTGGTATTGTTTTCTGCCTACAATTCCAGTTATCTCTTAACCTCTTTGGAGACAGACGTGGTTAGATATGTGGAACAGGTGGTATTAAATCTCTCAGGTGCCTGACTGATACGTTGTGCTCCCATGCTCAGGCTTAAACTAACAGTGTGCTTTGGGTTCAGGATAGTCACTTCTGCTGGGAGTTGGCAGAGACCACTGGGGTATTTTTTGTCTTTCTTTCCAGTTCAGCCCGTATTCTGAGACTGCTTGGACACCATCCTCTAACAAATGCCTTGGTGTTGAAGAGGCTGGGGAATTTGGTTACGGCCTTGACCTCACATTTTCTTGAGGCACATTTATTTTTGGGGAGCCTTTTAATCATCAGCAGTTTGAGACTGGACCAAGAGTAGCTCGTGGTTGTGTCCCTAGAGTCAGCAGAGAGGCAGCTTGTGGTCCTGTGACAGAGGAGTTTGTTACGGTTTGCAGTGATGGGAACTCAGGAAGCCTTTCCGTAGTATCCTGTCAGTCTTTGTTCTTATTGGGCTTTGCTTGTAGCTGTTTTCTTGTGGTCATTGAATTTTGGCAAGGGCTAGAACAAGGTCTGTTTACAGCACATGTGATGGTGGGTTGCGTAGCCAAATGCTCTGAGGAAGGTGAGGAAACTGAGGCACTAAGCAACGGTGGTTCTGCTGCCACAGAACTGTTATCTGGTGTTTGAACTATGAGTATTTCAGCTTCCCTGTCTATACAGGGAAGATAATGATATTGATCTCCTTTGGTGAGGAAAAATTTGAACAGAATTACAGAATAGGTGGGGATCTCAGTTATATATTCTTGTTCTGTCTTTGTACGGTACTTAGGGCTCCTGGGTAATTACTAGTATAGTAACGTACTATACTAGTTATAAGGAATCAGGCCTCATGTCTTGTCCAAGGCCACACAGCACGGTCAGGGTTGGAGGCCTACTTCTGGGGATACTTTCATCACCGCCTCTCTTGAGGTGGCAGGAGATGGGCTGGGTTAGTGTTTGTACAGCGCTTGGAAGCTGCGAGGTGTTGTGTGATGGTTATCGCCACATGCCGTGCCTGTAGGTAGTGTTTAGATCTAGCACACTGTACTACTGAAGTAGCCAGGACGACAGCTGCAACCAAAGCAAAAAGCATTCTCATTTTTTTTTCCTTCTGAAATGTAGCTATTAACTGAAATCAGTGCCAGCATAGCATCTGGAGCCTCTACTCAAACAACTCTTGTTTTAATTTAGCATGAAAATATCCCCATAAAGAAATTTCACTTCAAAGACAAAGGGAGTAGCTGTCCTTTACTCCTTTACCCGCTGATATGGACGAAGCAAAATCAGGACTTGTCTGAACTGTCTTAAAGCTGTTTGTAAAGGCTTGGGTGACTGAGAGGAGACCCCAGCAGTTTCCCCATGAAGCCCTCTGTGACTGATGTTCTTTGTCTTGCTCTGTTTCAGAGAGTTGGCCATGGAGATAAGAATCACGCAGACGCGGATCGCTCTCCTGTCTTCCTCCAGTTCATTGACTGTGTCTGGCAAATGACAAGACAGGTAAGTTGCTGGGTGGCACACGTGTCCACAAAACCACTGTACCAAGATGTGGCACAGTGTCTGGCCACAGGAGATATTTCCAAGCTGACCTGCACAGGCTCTCCTTCCTGGGCGTCTACTCTTTTCTTGACTCTGACAACAAATTTCTTGGGAGTCTGTTTAGCAAAGAGCCTGAATGCACAAGTGCACAGGAAGGCCACAATGTCGGCTTCCATCAGATTAGCTAGTTAGTGGGTGCTGCTTACGTACATGCTGCTGTAATAAATGTGGGCTTGCGAAGAAGCAGCTTGCCTCACCCTGAAATAGGGGACAGCTGCCTCACATTTCTCATGGACAGGAACAGACACCCCAGCCATCCTGACTAGCCCGCTGTGCCTTCAGAAACATAAGTGACTTGAGCTGCTGATCAAAGTCTCTAGCGTGATGGGTGCATACAGATCCCTACTGCCTCTGCTCAAGCTGATGCCATAACCAAACCTGCAGGGAAGACAAGCATTTCCTCCGTTTTAACTTCTGAAGGCAAATATGCTGCTCCTGATTCATACTTCATGTACAGAGGCAGGAGCTTTGGTCCTCACTTCAGACCAGGCATGGCGGAGGCATAGTTCAGGAGAGATAGAAACCCTATGGCTGGGGGGGTATTTTCCCACAGGTGTGTAGGACCTGGAATGTTTTTCATGTCTGCTGTGATTTTTGTGCTGCATTTTAAGCAAATGTTAGCCATGGTCAGGCAGTTCTTTGAAAAAATTAGGCTCTTCATGGACTAAAAAGTGAAGTGGGAAAGGATGCCACTATATAGGAAGCTGACCGTATCCAAGCAGAGAAAGAGGGAGGCTTTACCATCTTCAAAAGTCACTTCACCGTGCTATTCTTTGATTGCTCCTAGAAGTTGGCATCCTGACCTGCAGCTGGTGAGGTCAGGATGTTGCAGCCGGGGCAACTGGGAAGAGAAGGGTGGTTTGTGAGGGAGGAAGGCCTCTCGCTCTCCTCTTCATCGCCCCAGCATGTCTTTGCAGTTCACTGCACGTATTCTCACTGACCCTTTGTGGAACTTCATCTCTCCCTGTCTTGGGTCTGATTGTTGCTGTGTGAGACGTCAACAGCAAACACAGCCCCTGCCCATACACCTGTTCCTCCCGCTGACCTGTGTTGCCTGATGCCTACCTGCTGTTCCCTCGGGGAAGCGCTGTGTTACACACACAGGCTTTTTCCATTTGGCCCTGGGAAATTTCCATTTCTTTTTATGCCTTATTTCACATGTGCTTCAGCCTTTTGTTGACAGTCTCGTTGCATGGTCTTGTCATTGGGGTGGGCATAGCAAAGCAAGCTTCCACTTGAAGCAGCACTGAGTGTGTATAAACACAGCGGTCAAACCCTTCAGACCTCTGGCTTTTGCTCAAAATTCCTCTCTGCACATGTAAAACAGCTTTCCAAGAGAGAAACTCTTGTTTCTGGAAGGAGCAAATATGGTCAGGGAACAGGGACAAATCCTGTTTTAAAAATCAAGAAGAGAGGCCAACTCCTTACCAAGACCACAAAGTGGGCGAAGGTTTATTTGTGATTCCTGTTCTAAAATCCCAGCCTAATTTTCTGATTCTGTCTGAAGTTTCCTACAGCATTCGAGTTCAATGAGTACTTTCTGATAACCATCCTGGATCACCTGTACAGCTGTTTGTTTGGGACATTCCTGTGCAGCAGTGAGCAGCAGAGAGTGAAGGAGGTAAGACAGCTGCTTTCTAAGGTGAAGGCAAGGTCCTGCGATTGCTTTAGCTTAGCAGCTATTGCGAGAGAAGTTGTTTCCGCACTCAAGAGATAGTGGTAGATGCAGGTCTGGGTAATGCCAAGCCCTCTTCGTAACAGCTGGGACACAAGGTATTTTCCTTATTGTGCAAACTGCTGTCTGTGGAGGCTTTACATTTCAGAGCAATACCATTTCCCTCTGGGCAGTCGCACTGCTATCAGCATGGCTTTCAGCTACTCACTGGTGGCTGAATAGCTCCTGGTGTCTCCTGAGTAGTTGGAAATGCATTTTTTCTTTGAACTCCAGTTTAATGTAACCTCCTCTGTGGAAACTGGTATCTTTTTGCCTTCTCTTTTCCTTGCAGTGGTCTCGTTAGGTTGATTTTAACTACTAAGCGTGTATTGTTGTTCTGCACACGTAGGTTACAGCAAGTAACTGGTCTCAGTGGGTGCTCTTGCTGTGTGTGCATTTTTCCGGAGAGGACAGAGCTGCTAGTATTAGGAAGGGTATGCCTGTAGGTCCTTCCACCAGCCAGCTCTGCCCCACTACCTGGTCAAGCTTTGTTTGCCAAGGGAGGAGCATATAGATGTGTGCATTCAGACCTAGTCTGGAGTCAGAAGGAAAAGAAGTGACACTCGTTCTGCCTCACCTACCTAAAGACAAAGCATTCTGTCACCAGCAGCCTAACATCACAGAGGTACATTCAGGACAGTTCTGTGTGGACCTGATGATATTTGATAGCACATCAGTTAAAAATAGTAATAAAAAAAATTACTGTAATACAGAAGTGATAGCATTGTACTGTAGTGAAATTGGGGTCCCTGTCTCTCTAGAGTCCACAGCGATTGAATAATTCCCAGAGAAGAAAACCTGCATGCTGTTTGCATGTGTTTTTTTTTTTCCTGAGGCCTCAAGCCTAGCAAAGTACTTAATCTAGAAAGCACTTCAACACTGGTTTCACTGGGACTATTCACAGGCCTAATTATCCCACTAGATCAGGGCCTAAGTCAAATGTGGTTGGGTTTTTGTTTTTTTTTTTCAATTAAATACTCTGGCAGGTCCTCCAGGAGCACTTTAAAGAGGTGAAGTTTAACCAAAGCATTGCACATTCACCTGCCAGCATCCCCTTGCTGTGCCGATGGCGATTCCTGGTCTGTGCTGGCAGCTGGGTGGGTAAGAGGGGGTGTTCCCTGCCAGGGTGTGTGTGTGCCTGCCTGCATCCGCGTGCTTCGATTACAATAACTGCATCAGAAGAATGGGCTTTTGTTTTTTTAAGCCACAAAAAGGCAACCAGCTCTGTATTAATGGCAGGCATAAGTATATACAGTTATAAATGCTCTGTAGATAAATGCTGGGACTCTTATGGGAAATAAAGCCTCCTCCACCCCCTTCCCTTACAGAGCCTTCCAAAAAAGACCGTGTCGCTTTGGTCTTACATCAACAGCCAGCTGGAAGACTTCACTAACCCCTTGTACGTGAGCTACTCCAACCACGTCCTGTATCCCGTGGCCAGCATGCGCCACCTCGAGCTGTGGGTCGGCTATTACATCCGCTGGAACCCCAGGATGAAACCGCAGGTACAGCTCTTCCAAGGGTCCTGCTTTTATTTCCCTCCCTGCTAGTCCTAACACTGTCATTTTGGAGCTCGAGACCGTTGAATCACAAGCAGCAATGTACAAACTTATGCTGCCACTGCTTAAATCTAAAAACAAAAGCCTAAATTCAAATGCAGGTAAATGAAAGAGCACTCAGCTGGAGGTCACTGTCTTGTGAAATCTGCAGGAGCTGAAGATACACAGCAGTTTGGAAAATTTCTCTCTTAGAATACAGGGAAAATAATCTGAATTATCTCTTCTTTACCAAAGAGCCCAAAAACCTAAGACTTCTTTGGATGTGGGATTCAAGACCTGAGCTGTGGGGCTGTATTTAGATTACCAGCCCTAGGAACCTGCTGCTGGCTGCAGCTGCGCAAGGCACCGGGCTCTGACTGCAGCCCTCGTTATGCTCTTGACTGCTGACAGCAGGGCAGCTGGTGCGCCCAGGGCAAGCAGGCTGAACATGGCCCTAAATGCTGATATCACTCTTTAATAGGAAGGGACAAAAATTCCTGGATTGCGTCAATGTCCAACTGCAGTTAACAGAGCTGTGCAAATCCAGGGCAGTAGATACAGGAACCCAACAAACGCTGTCCAGTACTACCTGTTTAACAGTCAGAACCGTGTAAAAATATTTAGACAAATCTGTATTGGTAGCTTTTTTTTTCCCCCAAAGCCCTGAAATTATGTCTAGACTGAGATGCCAAGGCCAGCATCCCCCAGAAATGTCAAGAGTTGTGTAATTGTCATCTTCCAAAATACACACAGTTTTGTTTCCCACCATTGCACTATGCACGTTGGATAAAAAAAAGAATCTCAAAGCCAGAGCAACTGTTCACCCCTGAGCTGGAGACAGTGCTATAACCCGTGTAGCACCCCTCCTTCCCTCACAGCTGGGTGCCAGGTCAGCGGCAACGTTTTGTGGTTCAGGCTTCCACTTCCACGCTCGCCTCCTAGCACTCAGCTACACGCTTTCTTGCAGGAACCTGTCCACAATCGCTACAAGGAGCTGCTTGCCAAGCGGGCTGAGCTGCAGAAGAAAGTGGAGGAGCTGCAGAGAGAAATCACCAACCGTTCCACCTCATCCTCGGAGAGAGCTGGCTCTCCCGCACAGTGCGTCGCTCCTGTACAGACAGTTGTGTAATAGGGACTTTTTTTGCCAAGTACCTTCCCAGGACCATGGGGGCAGCTTTTCTAAAACCCTCTGGATTTCCAGCGTGGTGTCTGGGAGATGCCAACCTATTTATTTATTTCTTTCCAGGGTAATTTATTAGTACTGTAGCACTAGAGGAAGCTTGGGCAAAACCAACCAACCAACCAAGGGCCCCTATGCAATTAACCTTCTCAGTGGCTAGACAATAATACAAGCTAATTGCACTTGCCACGTAAAAGAAATCTAGAGCTCTTTCTTTGTTCACTTATGTGCTGGAAATCACTTGGCTTTAAAGAGGGACTGTGCACTAGAGTGCAGTACTCTGGAGGAAAAACATCTACTCGGAAGTTTGAAAAAATCTCCCCTTTTACTGAAAGGAAGTATCAAGTCTGACTTTGTTTTGGAACCTAGAACACAGGTGTGAAGTGATGAAACCCTGCACTATTAATGTCTGCATAGCAGCGTTAATGAATGTTTGCCAAAATACTTAGAGACAAGCAGCGATAGCATCTGAAACATACCACCGTTCTCGCTTTTCACTTTGATCTAGATCATAGGAAGCCATGTAAATGATGCCTTATTTAAAGAAAGGGCAGCTTCTATCAATAAAACACGGTGGTAGAGGAGCAACCTACATGACGACTTTAGGATAAGGTTTACTTCCATCTCTGCAATGTTAGAGTCTTGTTACGGTTTACATCGGGTGTGCCAGGATGCAACTTAAGCACCTTTATTTCTGCGGGGGGAAGCAGAGCATGGCTCCCCTGGGCTTTCTGCAGCTCCTCTGTCCTCCAGTGCCTCATACTCATCAGGGGAAAGGTAGTAGAATGCCATGGGGCATGTGTGAACTGCTGGGATCAGTCATTTCATTTTGCTTGGGTAAGCATCTTCAGTGATTTTAATGCTTCTGTGCAGGATCATAGTGGCGTACTTGAGGTATTTCAGTTTTCTGTTAACTAATGGAAGCAACTGTGTATCAACCAAAGAAGCCTTTCTGCCTGCATTGCAACTGCTACTCAAGGTTATTCTGGTAGACTAAACAGCTTAGCCAGTTTCTGAGCCCTATATTTAGGTCTTTTTCCTCATAGGATACTTCTAAGAATTAGCATCACCTGCCTAAACTTAAGTTCAAATTAAATTTGATAGAAAATTTTACTGTGGAAGTGGAGATAAAAAACACACTTGGTGAAACCATGACTGCCCCATTGCTCTTCCAAACAGATAAGTATGGGGTTGTAGAAGATGGGGCTTACAGCAAAGGAAGTTATGTATGTGCAAGGATCTTTGCGCCAGGCTGCTTCTCACCTCCCCACTAAGGAAGAGGGGCACTGCTTGGTCTGAGTTCCTGTGCTGCTCTTTTATGACAGGATCCCATACTGTGGTTGCCTGCTTAATACACCCATCAGCATGCTGCTTCACTCAGCCTCTTCCCCAATAGAGAAGTATTTTCTGAGAGAGTACAAGAGTGAGTGGACCAATTTACACACAAGAAATTGCCTTTCAAAAGCCACATTCCTTCCAAAGCAGTAACGCTAATTTCTGCCTGCTCTACTGCAATCAAGTGTCTCAGTACTTACAGAGAAATCCACAGCCACCTTCTGACAGAGTGAGTAACAGGCTGTATTGCCTCACTGCATTTGTTATAGGGTGGCTCAAGATGTTCTGGTTCAATAGCGCAAAGAATCCACACAAAATACCTTCCGAAGGACTTGGATTTGCTTTAAGGCTGAAGGGCAGATCTGCTCTTACGTACAATCACTAGATAAGATGGTTCATCGCATTACTCTGTATTAGCAAACTGACTATGTGTGTATATTTTGTTTCTTGATGAAGGCTGTTTGGTTTCCTTAACACTAATAAAAATTGATAAATGGGTAAAGCTCCTGTGCACTTATTTTCAACTATGTGGTTCTCCAAAGGACATGTAGGACATGCAAACATTAATACAATAGCATCTCTCATTCTTCAGCAGATGGTCTTGCAAGATGCTAATGTTCAAACATTGAAATTTAGAATGACAGGAAAACAAAATTCATCTTTGGACAAGTTTCTCTTATCCTGTACAGACCAGTATTAATACAGATACAGTGCTTAGCTGCTCAATATTACAAAAATACTTTCACAATTAAAAAAAATCAAGCAATTTCTGCACTTTATAGTGCGTTAGCACAGTTAAATTCTGTGTTAAAGGAAGATTCACATTTTTCTATGTAACTGATGTTAAGTCCAAATTCACTGGGATGATTTGGGATCAACTCAATGACTGCTCCTTGCTGCTCTCACCCATAGTAGGCATAATTCCAACTGCGGCACCTCATTCACTCTATGCAGCGCATATGGAACCTAAGGTACTGCTAAGCCCTCATCAGTAAGGAGCTGCATGAGGACAGCCTGAGGTAATGCTGAGTTAACCCACCTTTGAGCAAGCTGATCCCCAGAGGTCCTTCCCAAGCAAAATTACTGAGTGCAGTTTCAGCTGCTGATACTCTAGAACCTCTGGAATGAACTGCTATCCAAGTGGCTACTCGAGCTACCTGGAGCCCATGTCACTAACATAAATGGAGTTAAGGGGGATGGCTCCAGGCCTGGGTAACAGCTTCTGACTTCTCCCTTACAACTAAAACCTTCAGTGCCTTGGAAGCAAGTAGGGTGGATCACCTACAGATAATTAAAACTCAAGTCCCTTCTACCTGTGTTGACCCTACAGAGTTCCCTGCCTGTTCAGCTACAGGCATGGGTGGACAACTCTGACTCTCACCTTAACTGCAGCTTGCTAGCAGCTGGTATTCATCACCTTGAACAGGGAGACATCGCATCACCCCAAAAAGCACGCTGGATGGGGCACAATGCTACAGGAAACACTGAGTTAATTTAGAGGAAGCGCAGCTTTCCCACAATTCATTCAACAGGCAAGCTGCCTTTATTATTTTTCAACTGTATAAACAGGTAATCTGGGTCTTCTATACATTCCATTAATAGGAAATTCTTTACATTATTAACATAATAAATAACACTTACTCAGCTGTGCAAGTCAGAGTGCAAAATGAATTGCTCTACTACCAAAGTAGATAGCTCATCAAAGCACATAATTCAAGTTAAAAGCAAGATGCCAGGACTGAATGGCATGATTGAGGCACTTGCAGTTTAAAACACTTGTGGTTCATCTCACTCCTTTACCGCCCAAAGCTGTGAACTAGGAGATGGAATATTATCCCCTATCCTATAGCCTTTTCATAAGAAGTAGGATTTCTGTAGAAAAATTTCACTCTTCAGACTTGAAAAGAATTCAATCAGTCATTAAGCAAAATAATTCGAAGAGTTATTTCGCTCCTTTTTTGAGTTACTCAAACACCCACTGCCATTAATGCTGACTTGATGCAATGCAGCAGAACAAGAACTAGGAAAGCTTTTTGAGGAGAGCTATGTGTAACAAATACCTTTAACAGGGTTTACCTGTTCTCCCTTAGACACTCCCAGAGTTTGAGAGACCGCAGCTGCACATAGAGCAGAACCAACAAAAGCCCTTTAAGACTGAGGGATGCAGCATCATTTTCAACAGGGTGCATCTTGAGAAGCCTCCCAACACACAGTTCAACAACAGCGTGAAATCGCACTAGCATTTCACACAAGCCAACACACACAGATGTGCAGCGCTTGGGGTGCCGAAAGAAAATGGAGGGACTGCTGGGACCATAACAGGAAAGGAACTGGTAGAGACCTGTCTTCACACTCTGTGGCTGGGTACTTTAAAAATGGAATGTGTTTTAAACTAGACTGTAGTATATACAATCAAACCCCGGGATGGAGAATTAAGGGCCCATATTTCAAAAAGTGCACTTATCATACAGTAGTCTCTTTCACATAGCAAGAAAGGCAACTGCTTTATATCCAGACTGTGAGGAAGTTTGACCAGAATAGCATCAAGAACATCTCCTGCAGAACAGTCAGTAGTCCCAGCTGATATCATCTTTCTGTAGTGAAGTCTGTATGGTCTGCATGTCCCTCAACAACTGAAGATTTTTCCGACTCTTCTCCCCAGGTTTCACTTTGATGGGACCAGCATTCTTTCCTTTTGTGGTTACTGTAGTAGTTACTTTAACCTCACTAACAGGGAACCTGCCGTCTTTTATTTGTTTAGCAGAAGTCTTTTTGGAATTGCATTCTCTCTTAAGTCTCTCTAGCTGAAAGAGAAGCACAAAGAAAAACATTAATGTTTTGACATCCTTCCAGACAGCTGAAATATCCCACCACTCACCTCATCCAGCTAAGCAAACGGATGCTTACAGGTCACCCTGCATAATAAATACTTTATTTTCCTTACACAACATTTCTATATTCACATCTTTAGAACCTGTTCAGCTTTAGTTTGGACTACTAGATTCTCTCTTTAAAAACTGACAAGCTGATTATGGGGGAATGACATCATGAGTCTCGCTGAACTTCTGTAAGGCCTTTGATACAGTCCCCCACAACATCCTTCTCTCTAAACTGGAGATACGAATTTGATGGGTGGACTGTTGGGTGGATGAGGAATTGGTTGGATGGTCACATCCAGAGGGTAGTGGTCAATGGCTCAATGTCCAGATGGAGATCAGTGATGAGTGGTGTCCATCAGGGGTCCATACTGGGACCAGTACTCTTTAATATCTTCATCAATGCCATAGACAGTGGGATCGAGTGCATCCTGAGCAAGTTTACAGACGACACCAAGCTGAGTGGAGCAGTTGACATGCCTGAGGGACAGGATGCCATCCAGAGGGACCTGGACAAGCTCAAAGAATGGGCCTGTGTGAACCTCATTAGGTTCAACAAGGCCAAGTGCAGGGTCCTGCACCTGGGTCAGGGCAACCCCCAGTATCAGTACAGGCTGGGGGATGAAGGGATGGAGAGCAGCCCTGCCCAGAAGGACTTGGGGGTACTCATAGATGAAAAGCTGGACGTGAGCCGGCAATGTGCTCTCGCAGCCCAGAAGGCCAACCGTCTCCTGGGCTGCATCCAAAGCAGCATGGCCAGCAGGCTGAGGGAGGTGATTCTCTACTCTGCTTTGGTGAGACCCCCCCTGCAGTACTGCATCCATCTCTGAAGAGAAGGCTCCAGGGAGACCTTCTTGCAGCCTTCCAGTACTTAAAGGGGGCTGATAAGAAAGATGAGGACAGACTTTTTAGCAGGGCCTGTAGTGATAGGACAAGGGGTAATGGTTTTAAACTAAAAGAGGGCAGATTTCAACTAGATACAAGGAAAAATTTTTTGACAATGAGGGTGGTGAACTACTGGCCCAGGTTGCCCAGAGAGGTGGTAGATGCCCCATTCCTGGAACCATTCCAGGTCAGGTTGGACGGGGCTCTGAGCTTGTGTGGGCACAAGGGT